GCACATCGGAGTGCTACAGCTCACCTACCTACCTACCAGCTGAACAGTATACCACAGCTGATATTCACCATGAGCTGAACATCAATCACGCCACTGATTGATTGATTGACTGCAGTCACAAATGGCTCATGTAACTCTTATCATATCCACCTGTCGCATATTCAAGTCATCTCGTTGACAGCTGATATAGATGACTGAGTCGACTCATCCGTGTGTATAATGATACTGACACAATGAACACAACTCAACTGATATGCTGAATACGCCTATTCGTCCGTGGTAGCTTCACTGAGCCACGTAAACGTAGAAAGACAGGGACTCACTGACTGACTGACCTGTGACTGTTGGAATACGGTTTTATTAGTGGGAGAGAACATGTCACATCGAATGTCACAGTGTCCCACCAACATCATTTGTTCTGTCGTATTGGCATGCTTGATGATCTGGTGTCGAATAAAGAGTCTCAGTTCACCCCATCTGTCTTCTCAGGTTTCTGCACTCACCCTGACATCTAAGATATTCGTGCCCCATGACGTCATTCCCCCCACCCAATTGAATGGACAAACTGAACGATTCGTTGACACAATTGGGCGTGTCTACCTTGAAGCGAACGGGGAGGAGACAAGCGAAGAAATCTTGGAACGACTTTTGCTGCTTCATCGTGTGACGCCAAATCCTTCCCCTCCGAATCACTTATCCCGGAAATTCAAAACTGTCGTCGACTCATTCAGGCCTGATCAGGTGAATCAGACCTCCAGAAATACACAACTGCAAACCCAGTTCAACCGCCAACATCGAGCCAGACACCGAGCTTGCAAATTCAATCACCTCGAGTACGTAGGTGAATTTCCCTATACACATAGGTGATGGAAAAGCGGATAAATACTGTGACAAAGACTGAAATTTACACACAAAATAAATGTGGAAGGATAGATCAGTGTTAGACAAACAAATCACACGCGTTGTTAGTGAGAGAGACCTGAGAAGAGGAAGCGAAACCGCGTCTTCTAAGCATTAGTGGATACATTTTATACAGATATTATTCATCTGAAAATTACCTGTGTGGTCAGATTATTCGAAATGTGTTGTGCAAACAAACATACTACACGATTCGGATGAATTACGTCTTCTTATTGTCTCGTCGAAATTCCTCACTAGAACTATATGCTCGAAAATATTTCTGCCATAATTTATAGTCTACTTAAATGGATAATGGTAGTAGTGCACAAACACGGATTGTTTGGAATTCTCGCTTCAGTTGACTTCGAATGAGTCCTTGCGTGACAAAGAATGTGAGATTTGACGATTTCAGCACTTCGACTAATCAAAGTCAGCTGACAAATCAAAAGTCAGGATTGTATAAAAAACAAACAACATTAAAGACAATAAGAGAATAGGATTGATATTTATTATTCTGATCTAGGTGGACCAAATGAAGATTGCTGGTGTTGCTGTTGTTGAGGTTGGTTTTGGTGTTTACGGTGTTGCTGTCTTCTCTCCGCCTTCAATTGTTTATATTTAACTGCCTCTTCTTCTAAACGTTTCTACAGGGATTCAAAAAAGTATAAAAAATGAAAAAATAAAACGATGCACACTACTGTACAAAAAGATGAGAATGTAACTCAATATCAGTTTATTTCATATTTGATCACGGATTCATGTCAGCTTGAGAACCATTCAAAACTATCAAGATGTTTCGTCTTACGACTTGGGACTCATCGGAAGTACTCACATACCACAGGGGTTCGAACCCACGGACTTCCGGTTATAAGGCAAGCTAGTTTGTAGACCATTCAACCACTGGGACCCGAATCAATGGCCAGCCCATAAATTCTAATTCCTACCAATCGGTGATTTGAACTCGACTGGCTCCAGTCAATGTGTCATCCATGGTGGGTATTTATTCTCACTTCCGACCAGGTGGACACCACTGGTCACGGTTTCTTACTCTAACTTCAAGCAACTTCGTCCTGCAGCCAATTACTGGTGAGCAAGCATCGGATTGATTTTCAAGAGTTCGCGCTTGTATGGATTTGATTTCTTCCAAGTTGGATCACGGACCCTCGAATCGGGTCCCAGTTTTTGAGTGGTCTACGCGCTTGTCTTGTGACCGGAAGGCCCTGGGTTCGAGACCCATCAGAGGGGCAAGTACTGGCAATAAGTCCCAAGCTCTAGGATGAAATAGCTGTCCAGTACTCCCTGGACGGTTTTAAAAGATTGTCTGACTGAGGTTCGCTCATGACGGAATTATTTTCTGTACGCTTCCTGATTCTATGGATGTCATTATTGCATCTATCGTTTGTAGAATCAATTAAAAAACAAAGGAGTAATGGGAAACTATTTCGTCTTAGTGTTTGGGCCTCTTCACCACATCGGGGATCAAATCCAAAAATTTCAGGTTACGACGCCAGCTCGATTAAGACTCAGCCATTGGATATAAATCCAGTAAGTCGTGAATTCCGGGTTTGCTTCTTGATGGACATATACCCAAGCACTGAAACAGTTGTCCAGAGCTCTCTGATTCTCAAAACGGAAATTGGTTCGTGATGACACCGACAATGAAATCATTACTATTATCATTCCCCCTCCCCCCTCCCCTCGTTTCTTTGCATTCCGAGGGGAATACAGAGCTTTAAGTTTGAGCTTTGAAGTTTCCGTAGCAGTGGTGTTCTAATTAAGAGGTGAGGTCGCTAGCCTCATATTCACTCTTCCGCTTTCACCAGATTTACTACAGGCTAGGCAAGGTAAAAATGTGCATTATTCGGGAATCGAAGCCCGGAACACGTGGTGCGTGGGTGGCGAGTATTCTATCACAGACCGATTGGTTTCAACAAAGAACTTTGCACCGATGTGCAGCAGTTCAAGTCGCCACACTTCGCTCAGCACATAAAGCAAGAGAAGAAGAAAATAAAAAGAAATGTGTCGGTGGCACAGAGGTTATGACTCTCACCAATCATGCGTATGGTCCATCGTTCGACCTCCTGCCGACGACGCACACCTGATACCTATGGTCGGCCTGTACAAATTTGGGCTACTGACATTACATGCTGAAAATTCCATACCTGTAATAAAAATACGCTGAGGAATCAAGCTATAATCAAAAATAAATTTAAAAAATATGAGGCAAAAAGAATAGCAATATGGAAGAACCACATAGTTTTATTGGGTATTATAACTCACAAGGAGTGGACGCATCTTCATCAGTCATTGAAAACCATTTTGAGCCATATCACTAATTGTCTCCAGTCACCATTGGTGCTTACCACCACCATCGCGTGGACCCCAACCAGCCAGGCAGTCAGTCTACACCTCCATACATGATTGGCTGTCTGGCTTAAACTAACTGTCAAAGATTTCACTGACTGATGAAGCCATGATGGTTCTGGTTTGACCACCACTGGCTCTTTTCCTACCTGATACATCCTGTCAGTCAGCTAACATTGCCTATCGGTCGAGGAAGACGATGGCTAGGCATGCATGTGTAACACATGTCTTAACCATCTCAATACATGCAGCTGCTTCACAGCCTAGTCTATTGATCCCCCCGCCCATCCTAACCTAGCACTCGACCGATGGCTAACCTCAAAATTGCTCACCCTATTATACCACCACCAACGTGAAGAATCCAGAAGACCTGGATTTCGCGCGTGGGTGATTTATATTTGATGTCACAAAAATTCAAAAACTAACAAGCGAAAACCAACAAACTGGTCGAAGAAGCAGCAAAGACAGGACTCCAAGTGAACATAGACAAGACGGGGTTATGAAAATAACCAACCAACCAACAACAACAACAACAGTAGCAACATCCAGTGCCAATCACCATCAGCGCGATGGATTTGAAAGAGGTTACTTCATTCACTTTTCTAGGGAGCATTGTCTCAACTACTGGAGGAATGGACGAGGATGTCAAATTGAGAATCGGGAAGGCGAGAAACACATTCATCAACCTGAAACCAATCTGAAAATCTCCGTCACTCAGCAACACTCAACAACAAAATTCGGACTTTCAATACAAACGTCAAGTCAGTCAGTTCTTCTATACGGATCAGAAACTTGGCCAGTGTATCACAAAGAATATTTCCAACAGCCTGTTGCAGACCTTTATCAACAACTGTCTTCGCTGGCTCTATACTGAAGATCAGATGGCCACCGGAAAGAATCACCAACAAGAAACTATGGGAACAAACAAAACAAGAACCAATCGCCCAACAAATATGCAGGAGAAAGTGGAGATGGATTGGACACTCGCTGAGCTGAGGAGGCCGTTGGGTGACATCGCGCGTCAGGCCATAACTCGAGTGGAACCCGAAAGGGAAGCGGCGAGTGGGACATCCAAGGGTGACATGGAGGAGATCGTGTGAAGAGGAGATGAAACAGTATGGACTAACATGGATGCAGGTGAAAAGTACAGCAGAAGACAGAAGCAAGTGGAGGCGTGCAGTTGAAGCCCTATGTTCCACTAGGAACCCAAGGGAACAATAATAATAATGACACAGGAGATAGAACTCAGGCACCTATGATGAAAGACAGACAGCTAGCAAGGTCTCATATTCTATCACTGAACCACCAACACAATAAGTACTATGGCGTGTGCTACTGATATAATTTATCAGTAGTAGTAGTAGTAGTAGTATATAAAGAGACGTTCACTGGCACACAAAAATATCAAATAGCAGAGAGAGAGAGATTTGACATCAGAAAGAGAGAGAGAGAGAGACAGACAGACAGAATGAACAGTGCCAAGGCAAAACATGAGAGATACGAAAGGAAGACAAAAAGCACAGAATACGAAGATGTGGAGGGGGGGGGGGGCGGATGAAGCACAACAAATGACGATTTTAATTTATGATATATATGTACAACACATCAAATTGCAAGCAAAACATTCCTCCTTTACCAAGTCTCTTGTCATCTCGCGTTATTTTAATACTACTAGTAATACAACTGTTGTGTAATTGATAAAAGGTGTAAAAAATTTTTCAATAAGAAAAAATTACCCTGTCCGCTTCCAATTTATTTACATCGACTGGACGTTTTCCTCTACTACTGGTAGTGGTAGTAGTCAATGAATCAATACGAGTTGTGGGGAGTATTGGAGGTTCACCATCATCATCACCATAATCGTCGAAAATGTCACCATCACCACCAGCGTTATAATCCTTGTCGAGTTGTTCTTCATGATGATGATGACGATAATAGTAGGATTGTTGATGAACCTGTGGACTTGATGTATCTGATTCCCTGATTGGATCTGTTGTGGTTTGTAAAACGAACGAACAAAAGAACAAATGCATAAATTATTCTTTCATTGTAAATGTTAAAATAATGTTGCCAACAAAAAAAATAATAAAACAAGTTTGACCACAGATTGATCTTCCTCTCCTTTATGGTTGACTGTGAGACCTGGCCATTGAGAGCAGAAGACATGAAAAGATTAGCTATCTTTGATCATAGGTGTCTGCATTCTATCTCCCGCGTGAAGTGGTTTAATAGGGTGAGCAATATTGAGGTTAGGCATCGGTCGAGTGCTAGGTAAGGAGGGAAAATCAATCGACGAAACGGTGAAATTACATCGACTGAGATGGTTAGGACATGTGCTACGTATGCATAGTCATCGCCTTCCTCGACAATGGGCAATGTTAGCTGACATAGGGTCAGGCTGGAGAAGAGCTAGCGGCGGTCAAACCAAAACATGGCTTCATCAGTCAATGAAATCCACAACAGTTAGTCTAGGCCACGTAGGAAGGTGTAGACTTCCTGGTTGGGATCCTCGGGACGGTAAAAACCAATGGCTGGAAACAACTGGTGACACGACTCAAAATCGTTCTCAATGACTGATTTCCAATGAAACTATATGGTTCTTCGTTATTATTATGCCTTTGTCTCACACCTCTGTTTACTGTCTATATTATACATTTCTCCTACTTTCTTCTCTTCCTTTGTGTGCTACATTGAGTGTGGCGAATTGAACTGCCACACATATGTGCAAAGTTCTATGTCGGAAACAGACAGACGGATAGATTGATCTCAGTTAGAGAACTACTGGAAAATCATCAAGGAGTACTGGACAGATGTTTCATTGTCCTAGTGCTTGGGACTCCTCATCGGTATGGACATACCAGTGTTCCAAACCGGGACCTGCCCGTTACAAGGCGAACTAGCCCACAGACCATTCAGGTACTGGGAACCGGTTCAATGAATTCTAACTTCCACCAATTCGTGATTTTAGCTCGACTGGCACCAGCCAATGTCATCCGTGGGGAGTATTTGTCCTTATCCTTACGGCTCACGACTTTCAGAAAGGGGAGGGGGCACAGCTGCGAATCCTACCCAACTTAAGTAAGTGTGACTTATAGTTTGTTGCACATGAATGACCTATTCCAAGCAGTTGGGTTTATTACTCTAAAACATTAATTACGACGTGACTAGAGGACCTTGAGTGGAGGCCTATTGAAGCGGGAAGTGAGATTGAAGACAGAAACTGAACGAAAGAAAATCACACATGATTCAAGATAACCTTTGAACGCTTATAACTATTATTATTATTATTATGATTGCTGTTCCCTTGGGTTCCGAATGGAACGCGGGGCTTCAAAGGAAACTCTCCATTTTGTCCTGTTCTCTGCAGCTGGCTGCAAGACTACCCATATCTCCTCCTAACACCATCTCATCCATGTCGACGTCAGACACACTCCCAACTCCCCGTTTCCCATTAGGCTTACCACTCAAGGGTCTGACTGGTGCAACATGTCGTCCGACAGTATCCTCGGCCTGTGTCCCATCCATCTCCACTTTCTTCTACATATTTGTTGAACAATACGTTTTTGGTTAGTTCGTTGTTAGAGCTTCTTGTTGCTAATTCTTTCTGGTTGATTTTCAATAAGGAGCCAACAAGACAGCTGCTGATAAAAATCTGCAGTACCCTCTTGAGAATGCTTTTCACGATGCCAACCCATATAGAAGAACTGACTGACTAACTTAACATTGGTGTTGAAAATCCGAATCTGGTTCTTTATGCTGGCTTGGTGAAAAAGATTTCCAAACTAATTTCAGAGGGATGAAGACCCATCTCGTCTTTCCAATTCTGGTTTTGAAATCTTCATCCCTAATTCTAAAATAACTACATTTAACGGGCTAAAACCACATGGTGGTAGCGCTAAAATCGCGAATTTGCAGAAATTAGAATTCATGGACCATTGGATTCCAGCCCAAATGTGATTGAATGCACACCAAGCCTCGTCTCCTAACCTGAAGGTCCTGGTTGCGATAGCCAGCATGATCATCGGTGAATACCGATGAGGAAACACAAACAAGGACGAAATAAATGCTGGTACGCCTTCGTTTTCAGTGGCGCTTTAACTGACCATCAATCCATGATCGAAACTTAAAAAAGCTAAAGAAGCTCGACCATTTTAACCGCTTTCACAGATTCTTAGCAATCCTACGCCATTTGTTCTCCTTTCTCTGGCAACCTGACCAGCCTCGTACATTACACGAACATTCCATGTCCCTCATTCTTAGTTTTACTTTCATCGAAAGGGGACATATCGGCTCGCTGGCCTCCCGAAGGCTTTCATCAGCCTGCGTCATTTCGCCTCTCCGATTCCAGCGAAAAATAAGTTTGGTTTTTTATATTTTTTCTCTTGTGTCTTGAGGTTTCTGCGGCGATTGGATAAATTTCCCGGAGTAGGGTACCTAGCCCCACGGCCAACTTTCTCTCTTTACCAGGGCTTATGACCGGCGAAAAAACCAGTGAACTAGGAGACGTTTATCAGCAGCTAACCTCACTGACTCCATATTGAAGATTAGATGGCTAGCTGGCTCGCCAGAAAGAATTGGCAACAAGAAACTTTAGGAATGAACTAACCAATAATCTATTACTCAGCAAAAATATATAGAAGAAAATGGAGATGGATAGGGCACACATTCCGGAGATCGCCGAGGGACATCGTGCTCCAGGCCATAGCTCAATCGGAACACAAGTGACATAGAGGAGATCATGTAAGAAGGAGACAAAAAAAAGCTTGTGGGCAATCGTGGGACCAGCTGAAGATGACAGCGGAGAACAAGAAGAAAAGAGAAGATAAGCTGTTGAAGCCCTGTGTTCCACACGGAACCCAAGCATATAATGATAAACAACCTCGACCAGAAGTTCCTTTAGTCAACCTAAATCAGCAATGAACAAACGATTAGAGTCCACTAGTATTCATACGTGGAGCTGTGGTTCATCGGTCTACACGCAGTAGGCTTCTAACGACTCATTTACCAGTTCGAACCCTACTCCATCTATTAAGGTTGAAGCGGCTAAAATAGTAACAGCAGAATTATTTATATGGCAAAACGATATCCTGGAATCTTAAATTGAAGTCTCAAGTTGTAAGAGTTATTTGTATACTCCTTCCAACCTCCCTTCCTTTCAGGCTTAACACGGTGGTTAGGTAAGGTTTGGGAGTACGTCAGTGGGAAATCGAGTTGGGACCTCTCTTGCATGTGTCTAGGAGGCATCCTACCCTACCATTGAACTACTAATAGCTATTTTATTTACCTAATAAAGTCAAACTTTGCTATCTCAATATATTTTGTGGCCCAGATCAATTGAAGTAGCGAGAATAGTCGCGTCTTTAACATTGAATTGAAAATGGCTATCTACTTGTGTTCACTGACTATGTTGTATCTCTATTATATTCCATTGAGCCATGCTTTCTCATTTGACCAACTCGAAAGCGTTTACACACAATGATGAGTTTTTTTTGGTTTTTGGTAATATTTCGAGCAAAATTACTTACTAACCGTGATCATTATACCAACTGTTGGAATTGTTTTGTTTGTTTTAATTCACATATTGATGGATTTTTGCGAAGAGAATACACTTAGACCATTCAGGTCATCAATAAAATGTTGGTGGAGATATGTAGACGACATGTTAGTAATAATGAAAAAAACGATGTTGAGAAATTCTTCTCACACACATAAACAGTCATGCTGACTCAATAAAATTCACTATGGAAATAGAGAATGAAATTGGGGAACTGTCTATGTTAGACTGAAAAATACAAAGAGTAACAGATGGTAGGTAGCATAAAAACGACGCTATACAAAAAAATACTACACACTCTGGAAAATTCCTTGATTATCACTCAGCTCATCCACTCATGGTAAAACGAGGATTAACACAAGGTCTTGCAGACAGAATACGTAGACTTACAACAACACCAAATGGTCAGCGAAAAAAAATGAACGTCTTATTCAAAGTGTTACTCAACAAGAACTGCCCAAAAGAATTTATCAAAGATAACATAAAAAAGAGAAAAAAGAGGGTAAAACCGGAGAATGACAGGAAGGAGGAAGACAAAAGAACAGTCACGATACCGTACAAAAATTGTACATTAAAGGCAATTCGAAGAAACTTCAAAAATATTGGAATTCGCACCACATTTAAACCAACAAATCTAATTAAAAATGAAATAAACCAACTAAAAGATACCATAAAATTGGTGGATAAAAACAGTAATGTGATTCACAAAATATCTTGTGTCGAGTGGCCGACTAAATATCTGGGTCAAACGTCCAGATCACTCAAAATAAGGGTGAATGAACATAAACGCTTAACTAAAGGTCAACCAACAGGAACACAAGCTTACAGCAATTTAGAAAAAAAATTCATCGATACCTGGACATGCATGGGACAAAATCCACAATATCGATTGGAACAATGTTTGTATTCTAAAAACTGATATGAACAAATGGAAAGAGAGAGACTTATAATAGAATCTATATGCGTTAAAGGTCACACCGGATACATGTAACAAGGGTGACTCAGTAGCACAACTGTCAACAACCTGGAATATCAATCTGAATACACAAAAATGAATGAACAAAAAATGAACTACGTATATATGAGTACAAATCATAAAACAAATCAAGCAAAACAACTACCCATAGAACTTCATCAACAAAATCAACACAGACATTAAGTATGGCCGAAAACGCATTCCGAAAACATGGACATCAACAGTCGTCATTCCATATAGAGCAGAGACGTCAGACGATATCAGAAGAGTACTCAATCAGCTTGACATTAGAGTTTTCTTCAAAACATCAGACACAATTCAAAGCAACCTTGTCCATATAAAAGACCAAATCCCTAAAGATTCTCTATCTAATTGTGTCTATAAAATAAAGTGCTTGGAATGTGATGCGTTATACATCGGACCAACATCTCGAGAAATCAAAATCAGAAGAAATGAACAC